CTCTAATTCCTGCTGATCGTCAACGAGGCGACATAGACACATGTCCGCGCCGATGCAATTCCAGCATTCCACTGCTGCCTTTGGAAAACTTCAAGCAGAAACAACATGAACGCAGATCCTTCCGAAAAGGGCCTTAGAGTCAAGATGTTTCTCCCTGGCATCTATGCCTTTCTGAATTTAAAAAGAAAAATTAAAATATGTAATAAGAAAACTACATTTGCATGCTCTGGGAGCCTAGAAGTACGGAGCTGCGCTGCAGTCCAAAAGGCACGAGGTTCGAGTCCTCCTGCTGCTTCACGGGAGATGGATGAAATCATCCTCCCCAGTGCAGTCAACTGCCTCTGAAAACCTGCTGGAGGGTCAGTTGTGAGTCAGTTCCAACACAAGGGTACACAACAACAACAGCACATACTAAGTTCAACAACAACATGTCTCATTACAATCTAGCACCATTGGTGTTGGTGTAGGTGATGGTGATGGTGTTGGTATCAGGTGCCATCTAATGTACAACTGTAGACAACACAGCCCCGTCCTGCGCCACCTGCACAAGCACTGTTGGACTAGCGCCCACTGCTGGAGCCTCTGAGTCTAGCCGTCCTGTTAAGGGTCTTCTTAGTCACTGGTCCTCTGCTTCATTAAGTGTGATGTCCTTTTCCAAGAACTGGCCCATCCTGATAGCAAGTCCAAGTCTTACTATCCCCACTTCAGACTTAGCGTCAACAGAAACAACTGCCAGAGCATCAGTTCTGCCTCACAGGGACCTGCCATCAGGTCTCCAAGGGTATTAAGCTTTATAGGAAGAAATGTCTCCTTTTTCAGAAGAAGAGGAGTGAGTGGAGTCAAACCTCCGACCTTCTGGTTAATGGTCCAACACTCGGCCACCACGGCTCCTTTCTCTTGTATTTATTTCTGTTGTTGTTCGACGTTGTAGCAACCTTACGAACCACAGAGCTGAACCTTGCCCTACACTATGAGTCATACAACAACAATCAAGACATCAAGTCGGGAAAAGTGGAGGGCCGTCAAGGGAGAGGAGGGTCCTCAACAAGACAGACGGACACAGGGACAGCAATAGGGGGTTTAGTGAAGCTCAGCAGAGGTTGTGAGGACGGCACGGGATCGGGCAGGGTTTTGTTCTTTTGTGCGATGGCATCTCACAATAACAACACAGTGCAGAAGGAGACCACAGTGTGAGGAAATATAGGCTCTCTGACAGAAATGAAGACATTTTAAAAAATAACAATGTCAGCCCAAACTAGAAACACAGAAATAAGAGAGCACCGAGCTGCAGGTCCTCGACGTGGTGCTGGGCTTCTTCTGCTTTTCAAAAGGGAGGGTGAGCTGCCAGAACGCCGCTTCTCCTGTGTGTGGTACACACCACCATGCTTCACCCCGGCAGCGTGACCCCGCAGCGACGTCCAAGGACAGAGGGGAAGCTTCAAGGCCCCACGGGCGCTCCCGCTGAGCTGAGCTGAAGTGAGCACAGCGAAAGGGCTGCTTCTGCGTTTGCAGCTAGGACAGCAGCTGGGAGGCCTTGCTGTGTGCTCTGTGCTCTGTGACCTGTGCCTTGTGCCTCGTGTCGTGTGCCTTGTGTCATATGCTCTGTGCTGTGTGCCCCGTGCCATGTGCCATGTGCTGTGTGCTGTGTAAATGCTTGAGCATCCCTGGGGCAAAGCTGAATGTTCTCACGGTTACCCAGCAAGATGCGCTTGGAGAAACGAGACGATCCCAGCATTATGTACACGCAGAGAAGACCCTCATTTCTGCCCCTCAACAAAACACTAGCTGATGGATGAGGAAATGGGGAGGCAGTGCCCAAAAATCACAATGTGGGAACCAGTGCCACGATGCCCATTCAGCAGCTGGGGAATCTCACATGGACCCCACGGGATTTCTCTTCTTTTGGTCACTTGGGGAGTTCTGGATGGCAGCAAGAGGTACAGCAGGAACACCCTGAATCAGGAAGCACACTTGAGGATCGGGGGGCATTAGCTGCAGTCAAATGAGCCCCTGACTCAGGGCAACCCCATGCACACGGGGCCTGAATAACTGTGATCCACACGATGCTGTGCTCACCGAATTGATTTGTGCAATCAGATTGCCAGGCCTTTGTTCCTCCTCTCTCTTACTTTGGAAGCTCTGATTTGTGGAATCAGATTGCCAGGCCTTTCTTCCTACTCTATCTTACTTTGAAACTTGTGATACTCAACACCACAGCCACATGCAAGTCTCTGCTTGTGGTGTTGTAAGTGTAAGTGGTGGCTGCACTGGTCGGGCATAGTCAGGTGCTGGAGAGTCAGCTTTGGCCTGCACGGTGAGCTGTGCATTGAGCCTGCGCACAGCAGAACAAATGTCCCCAATCCTGTGTCATCCTCACAGCCTCAGCTCTGCTAAGTCCCTGTCGCAGGTCATCATGTCAACCCATCCCAGTGAGGGTCTTCTCCTTTGCTAAATGCCTACTTTTCCAAGTATGATGTTGTTCTCCGGACACTGGCTTCTCCTGACAACATGCCCCAAGTATTGAGATGAACTCTCTTCATATTTGTCTTTCAGGAGCACTCTGATTACACTCTGTCTACGGCAGATTTGTGTGTTATATCAGCAGTCCATGGGTTGACAAGCAACTGATACCTCTGAGTTGTGGTGTCAGGCAAGGGTGTTGAATATTCCATTGACTGCCAGAAGAATAGAGAGGTCTTAGAGAAGGTGCAGCCAGAGCCCCCTCTGGAGGCAAAGATGATGAAGCTCTGTCTCACATACTTTGGGCATGTTGCTAGGAGAGGTTACTCCTTGAAGAGGGACATCAGGCTTGTAAAGGCGGAGAGAGGGCAAAGGCAAATAAGACCCTCAACCAGATGGATTGATACAGTGACTGCACCAATGGGCTTGAGCGTGTCAGAGCTTGTGTGGTTGGCACAGGACAGGACAAGGTTTAGATCTGTTGTTCATGGGCTCACTATTAGTTGTGCTCAACTAGATGGCACCTAACAACAACAACAACATGGGATATTCCATGTTCTTTGCCAACACCACAACTCCAAGCCATCAATTCTTATTATTCACAGTGCAACTTTCACGTACAAAGGCAGCAAATGAAAAGTCTATGGCTTAAGTGGTGCATGATAACGATTATTAAAAAGCCATTCCAAAAAAAACAAAAAAACAAAAAAACAAAAAAAAAAAAAGCCATTCCATGGTACATTTTCCTGTGCTTCCAAATTCAAGGAGTACATTCATCCTGCAATAGTCCTTCTGATGTCGGCTGTTGGTGGTGGTGTTGCTATGTGCTGTCAAGTCAGGGCTGACTCATTGCTGACTCTCCAGAGGGTTTTCAGAGGCTGTAAACTGCACAGAAGACGGGTCATCTCTCTCCCACGGAAGAGCTGATGGATCCGAACTTTGTGCTTTTGGGTTGGCAACACAACTCCTTATCACTAAGCCATCAGAACACCCTAGAAATCAACTAATAAATATCTATTCCAGACTCCTCCACATTTTCTGTCACCAGGTTACAACTGCTTGGAAGATTAGTATTTTAGGCCTTTGAAAATCTATCAGGGTATCTTCAGAATCAGAATAGCCAAGAGACACTGCAACTGCCCATCACTGGATAGAAGGACAAACAAGCTATGGTGTCTACATCAATGGGGCTGTGCACACAATTCAACACCCTAGAATAAAAAAGAATATGCAAAATGCCACATAGCATGAATAAATCTAGAGGCGCTTATACTGATTGAAACACAGCAGTTACAAAAAGATAACTATAGAATAAGTAAGTCCCTTATTATACAAAGCTAAGCAAATGTTCACATCCAGAAAGGAAGTCTTTAATGGTTATAAGGGAGGAAAACAGTCAGGCAAGGATTTTGAAGCTCCATTTCACACACTTTGGACATATTGCCAAGAGTCATTGGAGGAGGACATCATGCTTGGAAGGGTGGAGGGTCAACGCAGGAGAGGAAGACCCAGGATGACATGGATTGACACAGTGATTATGGCAATGGGGTCAGGTGTGTCAGAGACGGTGAGGCTGGCTCAGGACAGGGTAGGGTTCAGAGCCGTTGTTCATAAGGTCGCCATGAGTCACAGTCGACTCGATGGCACATAACAACAATCATAGCCATATATTCAGAGGGCAGAAGGGGAAAATATATAAGAAGAAGATGATTGCGAGGATGATTAACACAAAACTGATACAAATGGGGAGACACAGAGAGTGGTACAAGTGAAAGAGGGTGGTTCTAACAGTAGGCACTGTAATTGATGTTATAAAGCAAAAGATCGATGAAAGGTTGAATAGGAAATCAATTTGCTCTGCCAGCTTTCACTCAAACCCCATTTTCAAATACACACACACACACACACACACACACACACATACACATACACACACACACTTATATACACATATACACATAATACACACACACACACATATACACACACACATAAATAACAACTTCGCCCAGGGTGACCCCATAAGAGCCAGAGTGGAACTGTACTCGCTTGGGATTTCAAGGACAAGAAAGACCCTCCATGAGATGGGCTGACACAGTGAGCGCAGCAATGAGCTTGACCGTGGCCGTGGTGGCGATCACAACCATGGTGCTGAGGAGGGCAATGTTGCATGGGTCCTTAGGCATCCATTCGAGGGCATCTAACAACAGGCCTTTCAAATGACTGATGATCCAGAAGCAGTGCACTGGGCCCTCCTTCCATGGTGCCCCTGGGTGGACTTGAACCTCCATCCTTTCACCTCCTAGCCAGATCCTTAATGCCCTGCATCACCCAGGGAGTCCTCAGTTAAGCCGATGCTGCTTAATTACGATGCTGCCTTCTGATTGCAGGGAAACTGCCGGAGACAAACACTTCCGTTCTCCTCTTGCTGTTCCAGCTGCGGGTGTTTTGCTCCCCACTCGTGGGCCTGGCAGCCGGAGCGTGAGGGCCTGCGTGCTGACCGGAAACACCACCACCCCTCTCCCTGCGATGGTGCTTACCTCATGAGTACACAGATGACCAGCAGCGAGATGGTGAAGGACTTCTTGAGGAAGGGCCCGTTCTTCTTCTGCCGCTGGTGCAGCTCGCCCCCACAGTGGTTACAGCAGCGACAGAGGCAGAAGCACAGCCCCACCAGGGGCATCAGAACCACGAACAGCAGTCCCAGGACGGCACAGAGAATGAGCCCGATCTCATAGTGGACCACCTGCGAGTCAGAGCAAGCGGCCACTCGTTATCACACGGAACAAGCAGGGCCTTCCACAGGGGCACCGGGGTCAGCTCCTCTCTGCCAGTTAAATCTCCACAGGTGTGTGGTGGTGGTGGTGGGAGCCGCCTGTGTGTGGAGTCGGCCCCCACACTGGCCCACGGTGACCCCACACACAGCAGAATAACATCCTGCCCAGGTTTAAGCTTTCCTTGTGTGTAGATGTTGATCAGACTGCAGTGAATCCCAGGGCTTTCACTGGCTGCTTTGGGGAAAAGCATTGCCAGGCCTTTCTTCCTAGTCTGCCTGAGTTCAGAAGCCCTGCAGAAACCTGTCCACCATCAGAGCAACAGGTCAGTCACCATGATGTATGTACATGGGTTTATTCCATTGGCACACACTTGACAGCAACGCTACGGGGCAGAGCAGGATGGTCCCACAGGGTTTCTGATGCTGTAAATCAGAAAGCAGAGTGAGTCATCCCAACGCTTAACCTACAGTGCCAGCAGAGAACAGGTGACACGAGCTTGTTCTCTCTCCGTGTGTGTGTGTGTGCGCGCGCATGTCCTAGTGGTAAGGAGCTGTGCTGCCAACCCAAAGGAACGTGGTTCAAATTCACCAGCTGCTCTGCAGGAGAAAGATAGGAAGTCAACTCCCTGGAGGGTCTGCTGTAAGTCAGTTCCAACTGGACTGCCCACAACAACAGCATATATATGTGACTCAAGAACGACTGCTGTCAAATGAGAACTGAGTATCCAGATGGCCCTCCAGTGGGTTTTCAGGGACTGTAAATCAGACACAAGGGAATGTCTGTGGAACCCCCAGCTGATTCATGGGGAAAAGGTGGGCAAGCCCTTGCTGTGTGATTTACAGCCTCAGGTCCATTATGAGTCAGTTTTGACTCCACAACAGTAAGCTAAGAATGTCATTTTTCTTTCACTTTTCAAAGAGGAGAGTGAACTGTGGGAGAGGGGTGGTCAGGGAGAAAGTTCAACAATGAATGAATGAAAATCCAAAGTCTCTGTAAATTTTCATTACAATTCATAATAATAATAAAAAAGTTAAATACCAAAAAACATAAATAAATAGTAAAGATACCAGGGGAAAAAATGTCACCCTGGGAATTACCAAAAGAGTACTTGACAGACAGACAAGAAACGCCATCTGTCACATCCTGCCGTGAGCTTGGCCGCCGATGAAGCACTGTGCTGGGCAGGGCAGCTGGTGGTTCAGCCAATTCCTAACCTCCTGGGAGCCAGCACAGAGCGAGACCCGACCCCATGACCTACACGCACTTTAACCGTCATGAGAAAAGCAGAAAGTTGGGGGGTGGCAATTTGCCACTAAAGGGTGCTACAAAGCAATGGATTCTGTAGCCGAGCTCAGCTCAGCACAGCACAAGCTTAGCCTTGATGCCTGCAGAGTCAGCACTGAGAATGGAGCCCCAAGTCCTGATTTCAAATCCCAGGAGGGAGTTCTAGAAGCTTCGAGTTTCCACAAACTGGAGAATGTTGTATTCAGACAAGTCTTAATGGGTATTGTGAAGGACAGGAAATTTAACGACCAAATGCAAGAACAGCCATGTACCCAAATTCAGCAAAGGCTCAGCAAATGCCAGCTAAATGTCCAAGTAAGTGCTCAAGAGCCCAAGAAAAGGGCACAGGGCACTTGAAGATGATCTACTTTGAGATTAAAAGGAAAATGCTTTTTTTTAAAAAAGGTTGGTTGGGGAGAGAACGGGAAAAGAGCAGATAGATAATGAACATTGCATTAGAACAGCTGAGGGGAAGAACTTTCCAGAAGGAATATATGATTAGGCATTATGTATATGACAACAGTCTGGTTCAAGGGGTGTACTGTGGGGCAGGGTGGGGACTGGAGAGAAGAAAACATTCAACAGTGAAAACAATATTATTATTTTAAAAAAAGTGCAGATTCCTAGAGGGTTATTTTTTAAACTTAAAAAAAATTTATTATTTTGTGTGTGTGTGTGTGCCAACAAATCAGATCTGACTGGTACAGGAGGAGGGTTGCCCCTCCTTCTCTAGCAGAGCATCTGGTGGATTCGAACTGCACGTCTCTGGGATTGCAGTTTAGCTTCTTGCCACTAGGCTGCCAAATCTTCCCAGATTCCTAGTTTTTAAAAAGTGATAAGATTAATAAAAAAATAGGTAGTTGGACTTTAAGTTCTTCAAAGCAAGCTCCCGCTTCACCTCCTCGCTCCCCTGCCCCCTGAAATGTGCATGGGCTCTTTGTGAAGAGACACTACTTCGCTGGGTCTTTTAATCTTCCCCTGAGGGTTAACATCACTGGCCACTGACAGGCCAACTCCATACACCAAAACTATTCCTCATGGATTTTGCCACCGCTTCTCAGCAAATATTCTAAATTATTTACTGCATTTAAAGAGGATTCTAAATGCTTTCTGAATCCCTGGAGGCCTTGATCCCAAACTCAAGACAGAAGGCACACTTCAACATTTTAAATCGGGGCTCCCAATCTGTTCGTTCCACTGGAATACGGGAGCTCTGGTGGCTTGGTGGCAAGGGGCTGCATTGCCAACTCAAAGGTATGCAGTTTAAATCCACCAGCTGCTCCACAGGAGAAAGATGGGCAAACCTCCTCTGTGTGATTTACAGCCTCCAAAAACCCTCCGGAGGGTCAGCTGTGAGTCGGTTCTGACTTGATGGTACACAACAACACCAACCCCAGATACACTGCTTCCGAATCTACCTTGTGGCAAGGTCTGAAAAAAAAGCCCTGCTTTGCCCTAAATAGCTTCAGATATGCATTTTGTAATTTATAGACTCTCTTTCCAAGGCTTTTGCTGTTGTTGGATGTCATCACCTGGATCCCAACTCCAGCTGTCCCTTGTGACCCCCAGTGACCGAGAGCATAACTGCCCCATGGGGTTTTCACCACTGGGATCTTCACAGAACACTTCATGGTCTTTTTCTCAGAGAGCTGCTGGGCAGATTCAAACCACTAACCTTTCAAATAGCAGCTGAGAGCCACGCGCTTAACCACTGCACCACTAGGACTCCTCTTCCCAATGTTACCCCCTAAGTATTCTATCAGGCGGCATCAGGAACAAGATCTGCCACCCCAAGAGTTAGCAACCAGGCTGTAGTCTAGCCGAGGTCTACCAGCACCTAGATTGTCTTCTGGTGAAGCAAGGATTTAGAAGCACTTTGTAGCTTATGCTCACAGTTAATATGAGGTGCCAATCTGCAGAACTTTTCACTATTCTCTCATCAACTATTAAAGCTAAAAGAAGCTTATGGCAGAAGCAAGAAAAGGAAGCACATGATCTAAAGCCATCACTGTGACGACAGGAGCATTATGGAAAGGTCTAGCAAAAGTATCACTAAGTCACTGGCTGTAGACAAAGAGCAGCGTGAAGCAGTAGGAGACTGGATTTACCTTCAGAGTCAACACCACGTTCTCTGGCTGTGGACACAGAGGCAGCATGGGGCAAGAGAACACAGAACACACCACATGAGTGACCGAGGGGACAGGATGTGAGCGCCCCACATACAGGAAACCCAGAGACGGAATCGGGGGAGAAATACAGGGAGAAACAGACAGCCCGAGTGTTCACTAGAGACCCCACGCTTCTGTGCAGTCGGATCCTGAAATCTACATCGGGATGTCTCCTGAAGCGTGTCATTAGAGGGATGCGCACACAGTCTTGGAAATGAGAATTACTGGAAGGAAAAGTTGCAAATGCTTAACTATTCCCTCCCCAAGTGATCTTGGACAAACAGAGGTGGACAGAATCCCAGTGCCCAAGGCACATTCCTCTACTGTCTTTGTTGAAACAAAACTCTAATAGTTTCAGTCGCCTACTGATGAGTTCAATGGATCGCTATCCATCTTAACCTGAACTTCTGAATGTGGGTCTGTACTGGCCAGGAACTGAACCCAGGTCTCCTGTATGGAAGATGGAAATTCTTCCATCAAACCACTGAGAGTCAGACTCCCCAACCCACCCACCACAAATGCCTCATGGAGTGAGCTGAACACACTTAGTTCCGATCTCTCTCCCAGCCGTGGATGAGTTAGAAGACTTAGATGGCGACAGGAATTTGTCTTTAAAACAAGCCCTGTGTGATGGACGCTGTGGTTAGATGCTGTCCAGCGGGCTGTGATTCATAGTGACCCTACATAGAATAGAGTATGAGATGGAGAAGATTAGGGACATTAGAGTAACCCGCCTATGACCTCAGTGGCCTGGGGGTCAAGGTGGAGTCAGCTGTAAACCACACTATTAGTCAATCCATTTCTGTTTCATTTCCTTCCAGGAAGGTTGGGCTGCTTTGATACAAAGTAACAAGGACCTCCCAGGAGCTCAGGGCATTTTCACCTTGTTACTTTCCTGTTGGCCATGCTCAAGTGAACCTCAACATTCTCCTTAATCCACATGGTTCTGCTCTGTGGGCTTATCATGGAAGCTCCCTCTAGTTCACCCACACTCTAATGGTCTTTCTCCATTAAGAAAGGCACTGGGAGACAGAGATGAAATCACGAACCAGACACTTCCAAGTTAGCAGGAGTGTCTAATCTAAACCCAATCCAGCCGGGGAGGACGTGTCCAACGAGGAATCCTGCCCATGGATGCCAGGCTCTTCAGCATCACCACGTCTGGGTGTGAGGATCTCACGCCCTGAGGCCTGGACCCAGCTGAAGAGCTGCCTCTACCCCACTCACTCCTGGACAGGCCTTAGTGCCATTGAGGCCAGGCTGCTAATGGCATGTTAATTTCTGAAAAATGATTTGTGGTTTGGAAGAAAGTTTAACACAATAGCTTAGGTTTCTTTTGCGCAATTTCTACACAAATTGTTCAGTGACATCAGTTAAGTTCGTCACAACATGTGGACATTCTCATTCTTTCCATTCTCGTTGTTCTATTTCCATTCATCTAGTTTCCCTACAAATAGGTTTGTCCTGGAGAAGGTGAAGCCAGAATGCCCCTTGGAGTCAAGGATTCTGAAGCTTCATCTGACATACTTTGGGCATGTTGCAAGGAGGGACTGGTCCTTGGAGAGGGACATCATGTTTGGTAGAGTGGAGGGGAGGGCAAAGGAGAGGAAGACCTTTGATGAGATGGATCGATTCTGTGAGTGGAGTGGTGGAAATAAGTGTGTGTGAGATGGCTAGGTTGGCACAGGATAGAACAGCGTTTAGAGCTCTTGTACATAGGGTCGCTATGAATCGCAAGCAACTCAATGGCACATAACAACAAGTTTACCTACATCCTTACATTCTCATCTTTAATTTAAAGTCACCGTTGACTATAGATCTTACGCAGGTGATTTTTTGTTGTTGTTGTTTTTGTTTTTTCATTAGTTTTTTGGTTTGTTTGGTTTTTTTTAACAGAATGCAGGACTTACTAGTAATTATAAGGGCTATTTCTGGTCCAGGTTTTAGGAGTATCTTTGTTTACATCTCAACAAGTCAAGCAAGCTTGTGAATGTTTTATTTGTTTATGTGTGTGTGTGTACGTGTATGCATGGGGGAGAGGGGTGTGCGCTAATTTTTAGGAATCTGAGATACTGTTCCACATTTTTTTCTCTCCCTTCTGTCTGGGTCCATCCACTGTGGCCCTGATCAGAGCAGTTAGTAATGCATCTCAGTGGGGCACCACCTATTACTCCTGGTCTCAGTGGAGATGAAGCTGTAGGTTGTGCAGACCATCCATGACGTAGAGTGTTTCCTTCCTCTTCCTGAGTCCTTGATATTTTTCTTTCTCTTTTCCTCCAGGAGGCAAAATCAACAGTGGGATAACATAACATGATAACATAAAACATTAATAACACAAAAGCAACAGGCATCATTCTGCCCAAGATGCACCAGACATGAGCAGGCATGTGCTGGGGGACAGACATGAAGCTAGTGGCACTGAAGGATGAGAACACGTCTTTCCCAGTGCACAGGGAGGCTGCAGACACTAGCTGGTTCTGTTCCTTTTTCACAGTCTTTCTTACAGAAATCAGAATAGATCCAAAGGCAAATAGCAAGGCCACCTTGTAGTCCAAGGTAGCCTCGTTAAAATAAAGTTTGCCTTGGGGCCCTCTGTATTTACTTTCTCCTGAGGATCATTTGACTGCAATTTCCAAGCAGGATAATGCCCTTTGTATGGGAGCCTGTCCTTGATTGGGGCATTTACCTGTACTTACCCCTCCCGCTCCATGCCCATGGGGCGCATTCCAAGTCGGATTGGTTGACCCCAATGAATGTTCTACCTGCAAGTCTAAATCTTTGTTATCTGACGCCCATCTTCATGGGGGGGGGGGGATAAAAATGCCTTCCCTGAAGGACTAGGAGCTGACAGGAACCCTAACTGTTCTGTTTTATCCCACATACAATGCAACCAGGATTGGTCTGTTTGTTTTCTGTAATTCACACCCACAGTAAATGAAAGGGAGGGGAACACATTTGTTTAATCAAAGTGACAGGAAATAGCAATACTGTGGACATTCAGTAAAGAGCTCAAGGTGCCTTGGTATTTCCCAGAAACACCATCCACTTACCTTCAGTAAGGTGTCCTAGGCTCCCAAGTTCTGGCCCCAACTTACCTCCTTCCTCATTTCCTGGGTTTCGATCTGCTCACCTTTTCAGTTCAGCTCGCATGGTTTCTGCTCCATTTCCATGACCCAAGAGCCCTTGTCTAACCCTGTTCCAAACACCCCCTGACCTTTCCAACAAGCCCAAAGCCCCCTCCTCCCTGGAAGATTCTCATCAGAATTAACTCTCCTTTTTCTTCACCTCTCAGCACGTAACTCGCACATCTCCTTTCCTTCTTCATCCCTCAGGTAATTAGGAACTGTCTCTGGCATCTGGGACCAAGCTTCTTGAGACCAAGGACTGCGTTAAAATCCATTGTTGCCACATCCACTCTGATTCCTGGTGACACTGTGTTTATCAGTGGAGAAGCTCCAACCATTTGATTCTCAGCAAGGCAAGTAGACTGTGTGCGTTGGCCAAATGCCACACACTTAAAGGCAAATAACAAACCCAACCCATTACCAGCAAGTGAACCCTAACCACTGTTTGCAGGGAAGAACTACCTTCCAAGGGATCTTCAGTGGCTGGTATTTTTCCAGAAGTGGGTCACCAGGACATTCTTCTGAGGCATCTCTGGGCGGCTGTGAACTGCCAACTTTTTGGTTCACGGTAGATGCTGAATGCTCTGTGCCACCCGGGCCTCCACACCATGTACAAAAGAGGTGCTGAGCAGACATGCTTCACTAGTCTAATTCCTTTCTAACAAACTATTTTTAAAACAAAGTGCACGCATCCTATTGTGAGGACGGACAAATGATTCTACTTCATTGGGGAGCTTTCCTCGTAATTCATTCTCACTGGAAATTTCCGTTTTTAAGTAACACAGAGTGGGAGAGGTTAAAGCTTCTCCAAACACCACTCTTGACATCCCCACTGCTGTTCGATGGGATCTAGAAAACATTTCAATAGCCCAGGAACAGTCTCAATCAAAGCAGGTTGTTACAATCACAGATTCTATAACTGGATGTTTAAAGACTTGATTTCCAATCAGGCAGGATTTCCCCCTACAATCTGAGTGAAGGGGAAGGCAATCTACAATATGGGTATGATGAGATATTCTTGTTAATTACATTAAATCATTGTGATCAGTGTCATTTTTTTAAAAAAGTGTGTCTGAATGAATGAAAGCCAATTTGAATTGTAAAACTTGTACTGTAATAAAAAAATTGAAAATAAAACAAAAGCAGATCAAAAATCAAATTTTAAAAAGGATACATATCTTAGTAAACATTACCTCCTCATAATTATTGATGGGGTCAAACTTGTTCTGTATAATTTTCCTGATGGTATCTGGAGGAGAGAAAAAAAACACAAAACAGCAATAAAATTATATTTCAAGTACAAAATTAAGATGCACATTTAGAAAACAGAGGTCAACATATATGCTTACAAATTACTGCCCCTTTCCTCACTCACTCACTCGTAGAATGACTCAGCTGGCTCAAGAAAATTTTCAGAGACTGTGACTTGTAAGGAGAGAGATTACCCATCCTTCTCCCGCAGAGCCACTGGCGGATTCGAACCTCCAGAGAGGTGTCGTCTGTAAATTCACAGCACAACTCCCTACCGAGTAGGCCCCCAGTATCTTCTCAGTACTTTTCAGGATAGAAGAGTTACCAAGATGTAGACATTCTAGACAGACATTGTCGTTGTGTACTGTCGAGTCAGAACCGACCCACAGCTGACCCTACAGCGGGTTTTCAGAGGCAGTTAATCACACAGGAGGAGATTGCCCATCCTTCTCCTGTGGGGCAGCTAGTGGCCTCGAACCACGTGCCTTTGGGATTGCAGCACAGCTTCTTGCCACTACAGAAAAACCAGCAGTTTGAATCCACTAACCACCTTCAGCTCCATTTTTCTCCAGGGAGGAAAGAAAAGAAGTCACTTCCTGTGAAGATTTACCACCTCAGAAACCCAGTGGGTGTTGTCCAAGAGTTGGAATCAGTGTGACAGCTGGGAGATTATTTCTCGTTTAGTTGTCTGTCTGCTGTTGAATGGCATATCTGCCAATCTGAAGAGTATTCCAGTTGTCACAATTATTGTTCAGTGCCGTCAAGTTAACTCCAAATCCCAACAACCCTATATACGAGGGATCCAAGCCTTACCTTACCCTGCACCACCCTTATAACTGTATTTATCAGCAAACCATACTCATTCTATGACTAGTTATTGATAAATTGTTGGGCTGAAATTGCTAGCGGCTTGTTGCTGCTGTTGTGAGTTAACTGAGCTGGAATCGACTCACAGCTGACCCTCCAGCTGGTTGTCAAACACGGTGTCTCTCCACCAGTCTGGTGTTGGTGTGTCACCCATTAAAGCACAGGTGACGCTGTGAACAGTCCCCACAGCTCGCTCCTCTAACCCCACCCTTCCCACCTGTCCTGACTTTGTCTACCCGGGAAGTCACGTCTTCCTTTACAGGTAGTCTACATTTACAGGAAAGGCCATCTACATCTCCTCGTGTCCTGGAGCTGACAACCAAGTACGTAAAGAGGAGCTGGAGCCCAAAATACAAGAAAGACGCAAGGCCCGACGCAAACCCTGCACCGGAGTGTCAGCCTCCGCTCTTGGTCTGCTGTCTGCTGGTGGGTTGGGTGCCCTCCAGTCATCTCTGGCTCATGCCGTTGTGATTAGGCATCACTAGGACTCATAGTGACCCTCTGAACGGTGGATACAATCCTTGCCCCGAACAGTGCCAGCCTCACCATCTCTGTGTGGCGTAAGCGCACTGTTACAGTCACTGCACTCGCCTGTGACCCCCCACCTTCCCCAACACAATGGAATGAAATACTCCCTGACCCTGTGCTTGAACCTGTTGCTGCAGCCATGGTGGGAGGGAGTCCACCTGCCTGCAGAGGGTCTTTCTCTCTTCTACTCTCTATGTTACCATACATGCTGTCACCCTCTAGGGACTGGACGGGCCCCTCCTGGTAACGTGTATAAAGTGTGTGTGACGAGCACTATTATTGTGAGGTGCCATCAGTAGATGACAGCTTGTCTGAACCGTCCCTTGTCCTGCCTTGTCCTCGTCATGTCTATCCCCACTGTAAAAGTCACTGTGTCAGTCTATCTCATCACGGATCATGCTTCCTTTCTCTGACCCTCTACCTTTCTCAACATGATGTCTTTTTCTGAGGACTAAGATTTACCATTGAGTCAACTCAATGATAACAAACAACAATAAGGTAAACTGAGATTGTAAAATATATTCACGGGTATCAGATCGATTCTATCTGTGGAAGGAATCATTGGAGAAGTTCAATATCAGCAGTGAAAACTAGGCCAGGTGCTGAACAGGCCATCAACTGCTCATATGCAAGTTCAATTAAAGCTAAAGAAGGTTAAATCATATCCACAGGAACCAAAATTTGATCCTGAGTCTATCTCCCATGAGTTTTAACACTGACTAAGGAATAGGTTTGAAGCCTTGAACACTAATAAACTAAGTGTGGATAAGCTGCAGGAAGGTATTAAGAAACCATTCATAAAGAACGCAAAAAGTCATGACTAAGGAGGAAGAAGAAGACCAAAATGGATGTCATCAGAACACACTCTGCTCATTGCACTAAAGTGACACGAAGCCAAAGCAAAGGGAACAAATAAAAAAGTTAAGGAGCTGACTAGAAGATTTCAAATGGCAGCTTGGGAAAACAAGGCAAAGTATAAAATGAAAAGTACACGGAGCTGAAGTCAGAAAATCAAAAGGGCCAAACTTGCTCAACAATTCTTAAGCCAAAGAAATGAAAGAATAAATTCAAGCCATGAATTGCAA